CTTGGTAGCCCAGGCTGGCCTCGAACTCACAGAGATCCGCCTGCCTCTGTCTCCCGATTCTGGGATTAAAGGCGTGCGCTACCACCGCCCGGCCACTCTTTCTTATCTTAAAAGTCCATCTCTTTCTGTGGTTGGTTTTGTTTATCTTTCAAGCACTCTGACGTATTTTCTGTAGAGCTCATAGTGGTTATGACGGGTACAGTAGCTATAATTGCATTTTAATTCATTTTTAACATTTTCAATATTTTTCTGTAATATTCCAATCTTACTACCACATTACCTTAATGAAATGAAACATCTTATTTAAACTGTTCTTAGTTAGCAATGATTTCTCTTATGCCTGCTTATTTAATCCTCAAAAAGACTTGACAACATAGAAAACTGGCAAACCTGTTAGGCTGCTAGTCAGATACTAGCAGACTCAAGGACACTGAGGGTAGAGTCCTCCTCACAGTCAGTAGCTTGGAAAGCCAGGTCCTGAGACTGCAGAAGATCGAAGGCTGAGTCAGACCCCTGGCCCTGGATGAGACACAACATTCTAGACTGTCCAAAAGATCATGAGTACCATCTGTCTGGAGGCTTTCAATAATGAACAAAGACACACCATTGTCCTCCATCCCTTAAGAATAAATCTCAAGTGGGATTTTAAGCCACCTGGGCGGGAAAACTACCCCCTTGGAAGTTATCTGTTGTAGAAACTCCGAGAAATAGCATAAAGCTTACCTCAAATGGAGGTTGGCACAATGATCTTTTTGACCCCTGGCCGTTCTCACCCCTTGGGAATGTTGCCCATTCAGTGTTTCCTTTGCCCTTTGCCAACTCTCGACCTTGAGGGTGCCTCATTTTTACTCTGCCTGTCTTCTCTACTCTGTTCTGTTTGCTCTGAATGCTATCTGTGGAGATCACGAAAAACCGAGGAGAGGGATGGGTGAGGTACTGGTGCCAACAGTTTCATACAGGTAACTTGTTGGGAGTCTCTGATTTTTCACCTCAAGCACGGTTACTTACTTCCTATGGTATCATGCAGTTGTTAGCTGATGAATCAGTTAAGGTTACTGTGAGAAGCCTAGTGCTGACACTGTTATGCATATTTTTAAACTTTTTAAAATGTGATAATTATATTATTTGCCCATAATATAATTATCACATTTCTGCCCTGGTGATGTTCAGTCTTAGTGTAAGATAGAGCTGGGATGGTGTCACTGGGAGTATGAACAAAACAAATAACCAGATATTTAAATAAGTGGCTAGATCCTAGTTAGATGTTTGCCGAGTTTGCTCACTCTAAAGATGAATTTTTAATATCTAGTGAATTTTAATATCTAATATATTTATTATTATCTATGTATCCCCTGCTTCCTGTATCATTCACTTATGCCTTATAGAACTTTAAATCTCTTTTAAGTTTTTAAAGTATTAACGTTTAAGCTTTTTCTTGGTAACTCTGTATGCATAAAAGACTTTTTGAAGTTTAGGAAAATAGGGGCTAGTGAGATGGCACATCCAGTTGGAAACACCTGCCACCAAGCCTGGTGACCTGAGTTCCATCTCAGGACCCACATGGTGGAAGGAGAGAGCCAGAGCCTGAAAGTTGTCTGCTTTACCTCTGAATGTGCAGATGGGCACGCGCGCGCGCGCACACACACACACACACACACACACACACACACACTGCAATGCAATTTTAAAAAACATAAAAGGAGAATTATGAACAATAGCTTTACTAAAGAACATCCAAATATGCATAAATCTTTCATGTCAACTCCTAAGTCTTTTCCGTGGACTTCAAATACAGATGCATTCCTCTTAGAATGTGCCTTTCGACCTTTAGCTTGTGTCAGAATTACATGGGCAGTCACTGAAACAGACTGACTGTGTCTCTACCAGAGAGCAAGGTGAGACTTGAACATTTATGTCTGAAGTTCCCAGGCACTGCTGATGCCACTCTCCCATCCGACCTGAGACCTGAGTTCTGAGGTGCAGCTCTTAAGAACTACTTCCAAAATAACCGCTAGAGGGCGATGGAAGCCTGGACAAATGGGGTGTGCTGCTCTTCCTTCAGTTATTTGGCCTGCTAGTGATGACCACAGGCCAGGAATGTAAAAGCACGCATCAGTTTCCTACATTATTGCTCACCCCCAACTGTACTGTAGGGCAAAATTTGTTTTGTGACTGCGGGAGTCTGTGGAGTACACTGCATCTCCTAATCTGATTAATGCCTATTTAATACTCACAATACAGCCAAACATGGACTTTTGTTGCACATGTACCAAGAAGTCTTGAAGGGTTAACAGGAACTATTTGTGGTTTCTAATGATACTCCATTCTGATATCAGATCTATTTTATCAAGAAGAAAATTCCATGCATATTGTGTGGCATCTATTCTTTTACGATATGTGCTTTTGAGTTTGTGAAAGTAAAGCTGAAACATGGTTTTTTTTTTTGTTTTTTTTTTTTGTTTTTCGAGACAGGGTTTCTCTGTGTAGCTTTGCGCCTTTCCTGGAACTCACTTGGTAGCCCAGGCTGGCCTGGAACTCACAGAGATCCGCCTGGCTCTGCCTCCCGAGTGCTGGGATTAAAGGCGTGGGCCACCACCGCCCGGCGCTGAAACATGTTTTAAAATATTGAATTTTATGTATAAGAAACCTAAGTGGGCAGAGGGTAAGTATCACAGAATACAGTGAGTTTGCAATTCCTTATATATATAGACACTCAAAAGATGTCGGCCAGGACATTAAACGATCTTCTGTCTGGTCTGGTGTAGAAACTGAAAGCTGATTTTACTGATGCTGTTGCCCGTTTAAAATTCTCTTCTGGTGGCTAATGTTAAATGCCTGTGCCAGGCTACGTTGACTGTCAACTCAACAGGATCTAGCATCATCCGGGAAGCAAGTGTCCGGCATATATGTGGGGGATTTTCTAGATTAGATTGATTGATGTGGGAGGACCCACTGTAATTGCTGGACAGAATTAAAAGGAGAAAGCATTGACTATCAGCAGCCATTGATTCCTGCCTTCTGAATATGGGTGCGATGTGACCAGCTGCCTCCCGGTCCTGGCACCAAACCTTCCGTGTCTCGATGGACTGTGTTCTTGGGAGTTAGAAGTCAAGCTAAATCCTTCCCTTTGTGTCATGTGGGTTGTTTTTTCCAACAATGGAACAAGTACAACACCCTTCTTAATTAGTGACTTGACCAGCAATTACTTTTCATTGTATTGTAGAACTTAAACTCTTTATTAGCATACATTGGTTGTACATAACGATGGGTTTCACTGTGGTAATTTATGCATGTACATAATGTTT